TGGATTTCTTAAATCCTCTACAATGGCTCCAATGTCAATATTATTCCAGTCCCCCAAACCTGGCAATAAATAAACCCAGTTCAGGTCTGAGGAGCCCTGGTGGTAAAACAGTTAAGCACTCATTCAACTGCTAATCGAAATGTTGGTGGTTTGAACCCACCCAGTGGTTCCTTGAAAAAAAACACCTGGCAACTGGCTCCAGTCAAGACTACAACCTAGAAAACCCTACAGGGAGGTCTACTCAGCTCTATGGGGTTGTTATGCATCAAAACTGACTCACCGGGCACCCAACCAGAACAGTACCTACCAGGCCTCTGTGCTGTCAGGGGAACAATTACTACCTTGTGGAAGCTGATTCCAGACCTTACTGGCCAGAATGGACAATCCGAAAAAGACTACAGGTTCTTGCAGTGCTTTAACTGGTACTAAATCTTGTAGCACATTTTCCATCAAACAAGAGTCCAAATCAAGTAGTTTTCCAAACAGCAGGAAGGGACAAAAGTTTTGACAGACAATTCTGAATCTGGAACAAAGTGCTGGCTGCCATTACGGATGCTCAAAGCACAGCACAAAAGCATCCTATCGTTGGTGTGGAAGGTAGATAGGATGAAACAGATACACAAAGATGAGAATCACTTTCATATAAAATGCCTTTAAATAAAAAAAAAAGCAAATTTCATTGTTCCCCCTCTCCTGCCTCCCAAGAAAAAAATAATCAGATTTTTGCCAAGCTGCATCATTTGGGAATCACAGGCTCCACTAAACTGCCTGAGTTTGACGTTTCAAGACTTTCAGAATGTCATCTCTTGTTCACCTCTTGAGAGATGAGCACTATTAATATAAGGCTTCATTAAGAACACCCGGGTAAAAACATGGCTCAAAGACTTAAATATACAAAATGAAACCACAAAAAGACTTAAAGAAAATGGAAAATAGTTTCATAATCCTGGAGCAAACACCTTTCTAAGGTTTCAATAAAACCCAGAAATCAAAAAAGAAAAGGTGACAGATTTTACTATACAAAAATCATAAACTTCTGTTTGCTAAAATCACTATAAATAAATATAAAGACATACTGGGAAAAATCTGTGACATACACGACAGAGTAAATTTGCATAACATTTCAAGTGCACCAAAAAACCAATAAGAAAAAGGTTAAAATTTTCAATAAAAATTTTAGCAAAGAACATGAGCAGACACTCTACAGAAGACATAAAAATGGCTTGTAAACATATGAAAAGACGCTCAACTATACAACCAAAGATACACAAAGAGAAAGAAGATTATTTTATGTCTAACAGGTTAACCAAGATTAAAAAGGTTAGAAGGTTAGAAGAAAAAAAACACCAAACCCACTGCCGTCAAGTCGAACACAGACTCATCGCGACACAAGAGGACAGAACAGAATGACCCCACAGGGTTTCCAAGGCTGTGAATCTTTACGAAAGCAGAGTGCCACATCTTTCTCCCAAGGAGCAGCTGGTGGGTTTGAACCATTGAACTTTCTGTGAGCAGCCAAGTGCTTTAACCACTGCACCACCAGGGCTCCTTCGGAAGGCTAGAGAAGATATGAGAACAGGCACTGTAAACAGTGGAAATGTACAGTTATTATCCTTTTAAGGTAATTTTGCAATAACTATCCAAATGTTACAGGCAGATACCCTGTTACCTACCGATTCCATTTCAAGGAACTTATATGAAAGGAACACTCGCGAGAGTATGAAAATAAATACACGTACCATAAGAAGGGTTGATGTAGCGGTTTTTATACCTTAAAACACGAAAGCAAAATGTTCATCAACAGTGAATTTATTAAAATTATGAATACCAATAAAAACCCTGTGGATTACAACTGTGTGATCCTCAACCAATCACCGGGATGGGACAGGACATGCGGAAGGCACAGGACGGGGCAGCGTTTCGTTCCGCTGTGCCAGGGTCAAGGGCCTCACTGGCCGCTAACAACGACATAATTACGAAAGCCATAAGAAAATAAAGTAGATCGATATGTCCTGACATGGAAAAACATCAATAATATACTGTATGAAGTGAAAAAGGTAGGTAAGAAAATATGAATAAAACCTATTTATATTAATCTAAGGGCAATGTATTACAATTTTTTAAAGTATCTTTAAAATAAAAGAAACAAAATTACATGTAATGTGTTCATTCATTTTCAGTAAGCATTTATTTTATAATCAGTAGGAAAAAAAAACTTTTTTTAAATGAAAAGATAAGACCCAATTGTAAGTACTGTACATGACAAATATGAATCAAAGTTTCTTCAAGACAAGCTGAAGGAGTTAGGGGAGTCACATCAAAATGTTTACTATCTGGTTGATCAGAAGCTTACTGTGGGAAACTGATCTAGAGAAATGACTGCATAACTGGTGTTTTTTTGTCTTATTTTGTTATTTACGTATTTATTTAACCTGGGCTTGTGATGAGTTTCTGAGTCCACAACGCAGCAATTATGGCATCAAGATGTGGGCGCTACAGCTGTCCTGCAGACTTTGTTCTGGGCATGTAACATCGTGAAAATGGATGCAAAGATAACCCATCCACAACAAACAGGTTCCCCTAGTCCTAAAGCAGCGGACTTTTATTTGAAACACCGAAATCTATCACTGAAGACAGATAACTACCTTTTAAACATCTGGAACAGGATGAGTAATCTCATTATACCTGGCCCAGAAAGAGGCCCAACAATACGGTTAGGTGCAGCAGGTAACTTTCTGATCTAGAAAAGAAATTCTGCAAGAGAAGTGAGTCAATACACAATTACTCCACACGTTTTCTTCTATGATGTAACATCCCTCAAATTGGGAAACACACGCAGCTACCGCCTATTTGAAGAGAAAAGAATCCACACCTTTGATAAAAAGTTTGAAATAAAGCAATAATATGAATTCAGAACAACGAAATTACCTGTTAGTATGGAAATAATCCTTTTATCGGGTACTCTCATTCTGAGAAAAATCCTGATTTTCCAGGATTATTATACCCTCACTTTTAAAATGTCTGAAGGAGCCAACAGGTTATATAAGCTTGACTAGGCTACCTACTGCCCTTCTGGGGCACAGTAAGCCCTGGTGCTCCAGCCTCTTTTACCCCTTCATAGAAAAATTAAGTAAAACCACTGGGATTCTGGCTCTTTGTTTTCTTCTATTCTCAAACGTTAAAAAATAAGAAATAATTTGTTTTTACTTAATGAAAGATACATATTCATTATATATTTTTTGTTTACTTTAAGCATCCTTCTCACAAAAGGATAACTGGCCCTAATTTCCTTACAGCTGTCCTCTACTTCTCGTTTGGGAAAGCAAGATGGAAAGCAAACACAAAGATTTCATACATTTTCATACTGTTTTCCATTTGTTAAAATTTGCATGCCTTATTAAAGAATAGAAAATTAAATATACATCCACTGTTACTTTCCAGTATTAATACTATATAAAAAATGTCAGTAAAATTGTTCTTTGAAGTATTAACTAATTATATACGCACAGTCACTACCAACCCATAACACATGATTTATCTCTTTGCCTTTTACTTTCACTTACCTATACCTACTCTGATAAAGTCCTCAGAACTTATTAACAAGTTTCTAAAAAAATTTTTTACTTCTATGTTCTATATGTCAACCTAACTTCAAGTTAAACTCAAGGCTGACTTCCCCAGAAGATGGCATCTAACCTCCAATAAGCTATCTCCATGGCTCACAGAGATCTAGTGGTGCAGCAGTTAAGCTCTCGGCTGCTAACAGAAAGGGCACCGGTTTGAGACCACCAGCTGCTCTGCGGGAGAAAGATGTGCAGTCTGCGTTGCTAAAGATTACAGCCTTGGAGACCCTATGGGGCAGTTCTACCCTGGCCTACTGGGTCACTGTGAGTTGGCATCAACTCTACAACAACAGCTTTGGTTTTGGTTACGGCTCACCAACCAATGCTTACACATGCTATGTTATCTCTCAGAGGACCCAGATTCGCATTCAGTGTAGTGTCACTGTTCATGAAATCAACTTGAAAGTCCCATTTAAAACATTAGAAACAGTATCCACTTTCTACTGCTAAACTGGAGCCCTGGTGGCACAGTAGTTAAAAGCTAAGGCTGCTGATTTTCAGATGTGAGACTAAAACAATTCAAAAGCAAAATTAAAAGCCCAACCATTAAAGCACATGCACTTTCAGGACGCTTCATGCAGCAGTGAGCAAAGTCACAGTCAGGAAGGGCAGATCTTCCAACCAGACAAAGCCGGCAAGCTGCACCAACAAATCAAATGAAGCCTTCCATTTACCTTTTTTTTCCATCCAAGTGACCAGTCAAAAACTATACATCACATCAAGTCACCACACTTTAAACTTATAATGCTTTATGTAAATGTTACTTATATAGGCCAACAATACTTGACATGGGTAAATCACTCTGCCACTCACAAAGTGATTTCCTCTTCATACCTGATTTGCTCTTCACAAACACCCCATGAAGTCAACTGGCTGTTATTTCCAGTTTGTAAATGGAAACAGAGGTTCACAACATATCTTCTGACTCTTAATCCAATGCTCCTTCTACATTTCATCATGCTAGTAATATGAACTGCAAGTAAGGTTTTAGGAAAAGAACAGTGATTTATGGACAAGTACTAAAGAAAAATTAAAACTGTGACTCCTTAATTTTTAATACTTCCTCAGAAACCACTATAGGCCCTGGAACAGCCTTCCTCACACTAAATGCCCCTAAAACAAGCTAGCAAACAAACAAAAAACACCCCTGGGTTTAACACTTAGTTACTGTCCTTCCCACAGTGCAGGCCTAAATTTCATCTCAGAACTCAAAAGCGATGACTTGGTCAAGTTAATCTGGTACAATACATTGGGCATGAACTTTGAAACAGACTAGCAATAATTTTTAAGTTTTAATCTAGTCAAAACTGCAGAACTGCCAGGAAGAAAATTTTTGAAAATGTTTAACAGTTACTTAGAATATGGCAACGTCCTCACCTTAAACAAACACAGTTCAGACTCCAAGAGTTCTGCACTGTTAGATGAGTCTGCATTCTCTGTTTTGAAATACCCTGGGCTTAAGAGGCCTTGCCACCATGTCCACACTCTTTACATGTTCAGAAAACACTGCTTCTGTGATTTCAGCAGTTGGTCACTACCTCATTTTTTAAAATTACACAACCTAGACAACCACACTGTGGAATCAACTGGTAAATCAGGTATGTTACCCAATTACCAATGTCTCCTATGCCCTGTAAAATGGACTTAAAACATAATAACATACTGAGCCAACAGAGAACATAAGTATTAAAAAAAGTGAAAAATACTGAAAGAGCTTGGAATTTGGGGAGAGAAGTGAAGCTTCAAAGAAGACAACCTAAGAAAATGAAGTCTGAACTCTGTAGCCAGGGGGGTGAGGGGGTGGAGGGTTCAGAGTAAATATTTAAGAGTTAAGGGACACTAGGAGTTGAGGTAAACACCGATTTTTTAAGACTGATAATGGGAAAAATGCATTGAGTATTTCTATGGAAGAACAATGTGGCCCTTTATGACAGAAAATAAAACGTGGGGTAAGTAATGAATTAATGTTATTTATTTATCCATATCCAAACATATCCACAGAAGAAAACAAATACAACTGAAAACATGACATAGAAAACATAGCACTCCAAGTGATTCAATGTAAACAAGCTTATAAATGCCTTCTATTTTGTAATAGCTGTTTAACAACTTCTTTATTCCCACTGGTAAATGCTTACAAATAATAAGAAACTCTGCTATACCTAGGTCTCTTCAATAGGTTAACATGACCCATCCTTTGTCACCTGATGGATTACAGGATTAATCCAGACTGTACTGCCTTAAATGAAGAAAAACTAAACACTTTGGTCTTTGATTTTACTTTATAAGGCAAGAAGAAAAGAGATCAAAAGATGATGTGCCCGAATTAGTCATATCTGTTTTTTTCTTTCTGTGTAACTAATTCATCTCTTGTACCTTCTCTCCAAACTGACATTTAAATTTGTCAAGCACCAGGGCCTCTACCTATATGCTTTTGCTGTTGCTTTTTTTTTGCTTAATTGCTTTTTAAAATAATGTTTAAAGAGGTCTGCATCCGTTTTTTAAAAGTAAGCTTTTTTTTCCCTAATTAACAAAAGAAAAATGTACAAAATTTGGAAAATACAGAAACGAATAAAGAAAAAAATCGTTTGTAGTTTTACCATCTAGACAATCAATTTTATAACTGTGACTATCCTTTCAATCTTATTTCTAATTGACAGATAACTGTACTCATTATTTTGAAGTTTCGTTTACAAAATTGAAATTACACTATTCTCTAACCTATTTCATTTGAAAATTAGCATTTCTAAGACCCTTAAATATTATTTAAGAACGATTTTTAATGTCTTCTTTGACTAAAATCCCATCCTTAGGGCAAAAGAGTTAAAAATTATGCATTGAAACCATACCCTGACTCTCGCCTTCCCTTCCTTTATGACCTATCTCAGTAAACAATAGTAAGCCACCCACACTAGCATCCGACGTGTAATAAATATCCCCAGAGAAACGTGGGGCCTAGTAAGATTCAAGACCTCAAGCCAAAAGGTATGATGCTCTAACAGATGCGGTTTCAAGCAGATGTGACCTTACCGGAGGAGGCAGCTCTCCTAAATTCCCAGTATTAATGCAGTTACCTATTCTACCTACAAAAAAGCCCTCTTCCGTTTTTTAATAAAGCTACAGTAAACAGCAGTGCAAAATATCACCTACTCAACAAAATACCTTAATTGGCTGAGTCTGTTAAAACTGGCGCTCGCAATCGCAGAGTCAGGTTCACCAGACGGAGATGAGCGCGTAGGGTGTACAAGGCACGACGTGCGACAGCTGCTACCGAGGGCGTCACGATCAACGAGGCCGATTCTAAAGGGCCGGTGAGCGGACAGGGGCAGAGAAGGACAGGTAATCAGCCTCCGCCTGGCGTATGAGCGGAAATCTCAGCTACATTATTCAAAATTTAATCTTCCTACTGCTGGCATCACGGGCCTCAACGTCACCAAGACAGAGCGGCACTGAGCGCCGGCAGGGTGACGCACCCAGCATCCTTCCACATGGACACCCACCCCTCAGCACCGAGAAGCCCCGGGTCTGCTCCGGAAGCAGGGTCCTCCCGACCCTCGCCCCTCATCCCCCGCGCACGGCTCGGGTCCGCACGCGGGAGCCAGAGGCTGCCGGACCCCCGGGCCGAGCGCCTAGGAGCGGCTCCGGCCGCGGGGCTGCGGACTCGCGCCCAAGGCCACCCGCGTGACCGCACACGACAGGCGCCAAGGGTCAACCGCCCGCCCAAGCAGCCCGCGCTGCGGAGACCCCGCGGCTGTCCCCCGAGGGCACCGACCAGGAGCCGCGACAGTCGGCCCCGAACCCTCTCCTGAGTTCCAAACCCGCCAGGGCAGTACCTGCGGGGCAGCGCCACCTCCGCCCGACTGCTGGCTGTCGCGGTGGCGGCGGGCACAGCTCCAAGCCCCCGTGACGCCTCATAAAAACAACAACCTGCCCTCGGGCGTCCGCAGCCGGGAGGCGGTGGCCGGCGGGGCCCCGCGGTGCATGCTGGGACTCGCAGTCCAGCCGGCGCCACACGACATGCCGGTGGCGGAAGGGAGAACTACGACTCCCAGAGAGCACCGCGGCCCGCCGCGGGGAGCGCGCAGGAAGCGGCGCGAGCGGCCGCGGTCCTCACAACATCCGGGCCCCGGCGCTGAAGGGCGCCGCGGCCGGTTGCTATGGAGACGGGCTACAACTGTCCTAAAGGATTCTCGGTTTCACCTCGGAGGACAGCTCCCTGGATTAGGCAGATTGGTTTACACGTATTGATCCGGACGACGGTTCACTTCTCTCTTGGCTACTTTCATCCGGTGCGGTAAAAAGACTGCGTCCCCTGCGCTCACCGGCCTCCTTGCCATCCGCTGCAGGAAAAAACTGCGTTTGCCGAAAAAACAAAGCAGCAAGCAAGAATGACCGAGTACGGCTTGGTGCGTCTGGGGAGAGGGCTGGATGTTTTTGCATGTTGGTATTCTTTGGGCCACCCCTACTCCCACCCACCCTTCTCCACCGCCGAAAAAACGCCTGTCTAAGCAGCTCCTGGGCGAGCCGGAATTGCCCCTTACCTGGGGATGGCCGCAACGTGAACCCCCAGCAAACTGTAACAGTGATGACTTTGAATTCTAAGGAAAACATCGTTAATTTTACATTTATTTACATTGTGCCTTGTTCAAAAAAGGACAGGAGCATGGTGCACTTACACTGTTAACAGAAGCAGTAGAAAGTTAAGGTTTAATTCTGTCCCCCAGTTATGGCAAAAAAAGATGACTAAGAAAGGGAAACATTAACAATGAAGGGAGTGGGCCTGAGCAGAAACTAAAGGGTGCCTCAAAATTACATCTTTTTTTTTTTTTTTTTTGCTTTGTCACTAGATTTTAACATCAACTGTGACACCACACCCCCCCCCAAAAAAAAGGAAACGAATTTTCATTGTATAATTACAGCATCTGCACAGAAATGAGCATTTGTATCGTTTCGATGGCTTTTCATTTGTCTTTTTAAGTGTGTGTGTGCTTATACTGAGGGACTTGGAAAAATCAAAGTGGACTGGCTTTCTCTAATTCTAAGAGGGCCTAAAAAATTAGTAATAATCTAATACTATCTATTTGTATAGATTTTTATACTTCTCAAGGCACTTTCATGGGCAAATTTTAAAAGATTTAATCTTTTAAAATGATTATAATTTTAATTAACCTTTTTATCCTTGAGTAATTAATAGCTGCTGACATGATACACTACATGCCAGAGAATTTAATTATTATTCTTTGTATTAGGCTATTTTGTTTTAATTGTTTCTAGTAATTGTTTTTGAACTCCACATTTTAAGACTATCCAGATTTGAAGACAGTGAAATTCAAATAAGAAAGCTGCGGCGAGGGCCTGAAGTAAAGTGAAAACAATGGGTAGGCGTCCCCGGGTAGCGCAAAACGTTGAGCGCTCCTCTACTCGCTGAAAGGTTGGCGGGTGGAACCCACTCAGAGGCCCCTTGGAAGACAGGCCTGGCCGTGTGCTTCCTAAAGGCCACAGCCTGGAAAGCCCTATGGAGCAGTTCTACTCTATACACACGGGGTCGCCATGAGTTGGAACTGACTCCATGGCAACTGAAACAAAAGCAATGGGTATTTTGTTTCTGAATTTATAAATATTTGTTAATCTTCTTGTAGATCTGAAAGACTTAAGTAGACACTTTTCCAGACTGTGTGACAAATTATGCTACAGATCTTATCAGTTCGTTTGTCTTATTACTGACCAGATTTGGTCTTCTGTATTACATTTGGAGCCAAAGCTGATCAGAATTTACAGCCAGTAGTAGAGGGTGATTTGATAAAACAGTCTTTAGTGACTGAAGGAGACAATATTAACAATAGTGTTAATGAATTCCCGTACCCACCACTCCCTACCCCTCCCATGCCCTTCCTCCCTAGTTGCCCTGGGCAACCTGGCCAGGTGCCCATGAAGTAAATTAGGGTGGTACTTTGTCCCACAAGTACAGGGCAGCCATCTCCCACCAAAGATGCCTTCCCCTGCTCTGGGGAAACCTATATATGTTGAGAAAAACAGACCTGCTGAGATACCATCAAGTCGTAGGATTCTGGTGACTTCCTATTATCCAATGTCCCTGGTTTTGATATTTAGAACAAATCAATAAACAGTGTCAAAGAATAAACAGCAAGATCTGATGAGTATATGACTGATCTGAGACTCAGAAAACCAGAGTTCTACTTCAAGCTTTGCCAGCTTCCTTGCAGGGTTCTGAGTATTAAATGAGTAATATAGTAATCCATAGTATACTAATGTAAAGTGTTATTAACCCGGAAGTTTCAGAAGCAAATTCTGAAGATCATACATGCGTTGAAGTGAACCTGCAAAAAGAGAATGATAAAAATTGTTTCCATTTATATAGCAATTTATCGTTTGCATCCAGTTCTCTCATTTTATCCTCACAACCACAGGAATTAGGGCAGATACTTTAGCAGTTTTACAGATGATATACAGGCACAGGTGAAATGAACAAAAGGACTGGAACCTAGCTCAAGGTTTCTGCCTTCTGCTGCTGCTTCAAAACTGTTCAAAATCATTCAGATCTGAGCAAAGGAAAGATAAAGTGGACTAAATACTTCACATGTGCAAATTCGATAATCTAGATTTCAACACAAAATGGTTTAGTTTATTCCAAAACTTTAACTTTGCTGTGACATTTATTAGAATCACCCAGGAATTCAGGGTGAGTTTAACGGTGCTAGAGAGAAACTAGCTAATCTGAGCCGAATTTGAAACTCAAAGAGGCTTTGTCCTCACTTGGCATGACCCAAGAGCTCTGTAAACATTCTCATCTCCGTTTCGGAGCTGAAGCAGAGAGATGTGCTTCTTCTTGTTAGCTGCCATCTGGTGGGTGCTCACTCACGGCAACCGCCTGTGTGCAGAGGAGAACTGCTCCGCAGGGTTTTCAAGGCTGTGACCTTTCGGAAGCAGATCGCCAGGCATGTCTTCCCAGGTGCCGCTGGGTGGGTTCAAACCACCAACCTTTCAGCTAGTAGTAGACAGATTTAGGATATTCTTAAGGGGCTCAGCCTCATGAATATCAACTATCTACTGTAGAGTTTTGAGAGAAAAAGAATAGAACTTTAAAGTCTATAAGCAATCTTCTACTTAATTCAACCTAAAAAAAGTCACAGTGACAGTACCCTGCCAACCACTATTAAGTTATTTAGATATAATAATTTCTGATCTAGAAGGGACTAAGATCAGATCTTAACTAGTCTAGAGGCTGCCAAGTTTTGGTTTTTTTTTAAACCAACGAAGTTATTTTTTGCCTTCATGGACACCACAGAGTACATTTATCAAGGGCCTTATCACAAGTAAATATACATTTTTCACTATGCCTTTAGAATAATTAAAAATCACTTACAGTGTCCTGTTGCTACATTTGGAGACCCGTGATATTTGAGTCCTCAAATCAGGAAACAGTCATGTACTCTATCTCCTTTGTCTTATAGGCAAGGAGCTTAAATCCTTGTAAAATGATTTTGTCAATGCCACACAGTTATTATTAGTGCCAACACTAGAATCCAGAACTGGCAACACCTAGTTTGTGCTTTTTGTAACTCTTACAGCAGGAGGTAGACAAATAAAAGCAAGTTTCCCAATTAGTCTGCTTGACATACTCTTGTATAATCCATGCAGCTGTCATTATTACTCAGCCCTACAGCACTCCCCAACTCCTCAGCCCCTCTCCCAAAGGCCTCTACCTCGTGCCCAGAGTTTCATGCCAAGCATGTATGTAGCCTTGTACTCCCAGTGTGATCCAGGGACCAGCAGCCTGAGCATGGGGCCTTACCCCAGACTTGCTGAGTCAGAAATCTACATTTTAACAAGATTCCTGGGTGATTCGTATGCACATGAAAGTCTGAGAAGCACTGCCCTAGAGAACTACCCTACTTTGGAGAAGGGCCATCTAGTTTCAGACAATATCTCAGTGTTATTAGTAGGTAGTAAGGAACCGCCAGGAGCCCCACTGGCTCAGTGGTTAAGCACTGGGTTGCTAACCAAAAGGTCAGTGGTTTGAATCCACCAGCTGCTTTGCAAAAGAAAGATGTGGTGGTCTGCTTCCATAAAGATTACAGCCTTGGAAACCCTATGGGGCAGTTCCTACCCTGTCCTATAGGGTTGCTATGAGTCGGAATTGACTCAGTGGCACTGGGTTTGGTTTGGTTTTTAAGGAACTACCAAGATTTTGTTTCTGATTAGCAAGGTCAAGGGAATGAAGTCACTGTGTGGGCCTTGAAGGTGGCTGGCTCAGTGACACGTGGAGGTTCCAACTAGATATTCATGACATTATCAGCCTCATTCCCAAGAACTCACCAATAAAATTCCCCAAAATGCGATTTATTTTCTGAAGCAAAAGTTAAAGGCTCTCAGCTCAAGATACCAAGACAATAAAACAACACCTGAACACTTCAAACCTTTGTAAATTACCACGTCAGTTTGTGAAGACATGGAGAGTAACCTACAAAGTGAAGTTGCTAGTTGCCATAGAGTGGGCTTCAACTCATGGTGACTTATGTACAGCAGAACAGGCCTGGTCCTGCACCATCTTCATAATCACTGGGCTGTTTGAGTCCACTGTTGCAGCTGTTGCGTCAGTCCATCTCAAGGAGGGTTTCCCTCGTTCCCACGGACACACTACTTAACCAAACATGATGTCCTTTTCTAGAGGCTGGTCTTTCCTGAGGATGTGTCCAAAGTAGGCAGACAAAGTCTCCCCATCTCCCCCTTGCTTCTAAGGAACATTCTGGTTGGATTTCTTCGAAGACTGATTTGTTCATTCTTTTGGCAGTCCATGGTATATTCAATATTCTTCACCAACACAACAGTTTGAATGTATCAATTCCTCTTCTGTCTTCCTTTTTCATTGTCCAACTTTCGCACGCATATGAGGCGACTCAAAAGACCATGGGTTGGGTCAGGTGCACCTTAGTCCTCAAAGTGACATCTTTAGTTTTTTAAAACAGTAAAGAGGTCTTTTGCAGCAGATTTGCCCAACGCAAACACGTTATTTGATTTCCTGACTGCTGCTTCATGGACGTTGATTGTTGATCTGAGTAGAATGACAACTTCAATTTCTTCTCCATTTATCATGATGTTGCTTATCGATCTAGTAGTGAGCATTTCCATCTTCTTCACGTTCAGGCATAATCCATACTGAAAGCCGTAGTGTTTGACCTTCATCAGTAAGTGTTTCAAGTCATCTTCAGTTTCAGCAAGCAAGACTGTGCCATCTGCATTTTGCTGGTTGTTAATGAGTCTTCTTCCAGTCCTGATGTAGCATTCTTTTTCATATAGTTTGTCTTCTCATTTGCTCAGGATACAGATTACTGCACACCTCTTCCAATTTTAAACCATGCAGTATCCCCTTGTTCTGTTTGAATGACTGCTTCTTGATCCATGTACAAGTTCTACGTAAGCTCAATTAAGTGTTCTGGAATTCGCATTCTTTGCAATGTTATACATTAATTTGTTATGATCCACACAGTCAAATGCCTTCCACAGAGAAGTTGATGAAACACAGATAAACATCTTGCATTTATTCTCTGCTTTTGGTCAACAACCATCTAACAGCAATGCTATCCCTTGTTCCATGTCCTTTTCTGAATCCAGCTTGAACTTCTGGCAGTTCCCTGTTGATATACAGCTACAGTCGCTTTTGAATTATCTTCAGCAGAATTTTGTTAGCATATGATATTATTCAATAAGTTCCACATTCCATTTGATCACCTTTCTTTGGAATGGGCAAGAATATGGATCTTTCCCAGTTGGTTGACCAGGTAGCTGTCTCCCAAATTTCTTGACACAGACGAGTAAGCACTTCTAGTGTTGCATCCATTTGTTGAGGCATCTCAATTGGTATTCTGTCAATTCCTGGAGCCTTGTTTTTCACCAGTGCCTTCAGTGCATCTTGAACTTCTTCCTTCGTACCTGCAGTTCTTGATCATACGCTACCTCCACCACTTGTCGGTCAGTTTGTTGTACAGTGGTGGCTTGTGTGTTGCTATGATGCTAGAAGCTATGCCACCGATATTTCAAATACCAGCAGAGTCACCCATGGTGGACAAGTTTCAGTGGAGCTTCTAGACTAAGACAGACTAGGAAGGAAGTCCTGATGATCTACTTTCCAAAAATTAGCCAATGAAAATCCTATGGATCACAACAGAAAATTGCCCAATATAGTGCTCAAAGATGAGCACCCCAGGTCGGGATGCACTCAAAATATGACTAGGGAAGAGCTGCCTTCTCAAAAGAGGGTCAACATTAGTGACGCAGATGGAGTAAACTTTATTTGCTGATGTGGCACGACTCAAAATGAAAAGAAACAGCAGCAACGTCATTAGTAATCAGAACGGAATGTACAAATTATGAATCAAAGAAAAATGGAGGTCATCAAAAATGAAAGGCAATGATTGAAGATCAATATCCTAGGTGTTAATGAGCTGAAACGAACTGGTATTAGCCGTTTTGAATCCTACAATCAGTGGTCTACTACTAGCCTGGAGAGAAAAAACTAAAACCAAACCAAACCCATTGTTGTCGAGTTGATTCCAACTCATAGTGACTCTGTAGGACACAGGAGAGCTGCCCCATAGGGTTTCCAAGGCTGTAAATCTTTACAAAAGCCGACTGCCACATCTTTCTCCCTCAGACTGGCTGGTGGGTTCGAACCGTTGATCTTTTGGTTAACAGCTGAATGCTTAACCACTGCTCTACCAGGGTCACTCACCTAGAGACTGGGGGGAATAAAAGACCAGCAATTTCATCTCTAGCACCTATATTTACAATACGGAAAGTTAAAATAGGAAAATATCTTTTTCCCCTTTTAGAAAAACAGTAGCAAAACAAGCATCCTTGGATTAGATTTTCAAAAAGCTATCAAATGATCCAAAAGATTTGTGAAACTTGTTTAAAGAAGCCCTTCTGAGAAGTTCCTTTGCCTTATGATTGTCATTAAAATAAGGCAAAACATGAGATCTTAGCATGCTATACTGTGAAACTGCCTCATTTTATAACCTTGATAAGTTTATAAATTTTATAAATTCCATGGAGTAAACAGATTGAATGGAAGAGATTTGAGAGGTCAAATAATTCAGCTCCCTGTTTTACTAACAGAAAATCGAGGCACAGAGAATCCAAGTGACTTACCCAAGTTCACATTCCTGGCAAATCTGGGGCCAGAACCTGAGTCTCCTAATTCTAATGCTCTTTCCACTAATTCATATTTTAAAGCCATGATTCACAGAAAACTACTTTCAGAAAGTTTGTTACGGACACCATCCAGGTCGAAGATTAATAGTTAACTGAAGAGTTGATTAAATGTGGTTTTATAGTCCTTTTAAAATAAAAAGCTGGCCTTTAAGAATGTTCTTATGGGGAAAACATTTTAACTTAGATTCATTTCACATCATAGCACCTTTTTGTTTCAAGAATATAACAGGACACAAGTACATTTAAGACACAGATATAAGGCAGTATATTACGTATATAATAATTCTTACCTATGTTTATGATTTTCCCAACAGAAATGCAAATGAAATTGAATTTACAAAAGATTAGCACGGCAAATCTTTCAGAAACAATTAAATGGTATAATAAAATCTCAAGGTGAGAGTTTATTAAACAAAAAGTCTACTTAGTAGCAGAACTTCAGGGAACCCTGTAGACTTGTAAATATTCTGAGATAATTAAACTAGGCCTGAGTTAGTATTTATCTCACACCAACAATGAGAAAGAAACTTACCTATTTAAGAAAAGAAACTGTTTTCAAGCACTTTATTTGTATATAACTAAAATAACATCCATCTAATCAGTAAAACTACTCATTGCATTGCATTGCATTGGGCAAATCTGTTGCAAAAGACCTCTTTAAAGTGTTAAAAAGCAAAGATGTCACTTTAAGGACTAAGGTGTGCCTGACCCAAGCCAGGGTGTTTTCAATACATGACGCGTTATATGCATGTGAAAGCTGGACAATGAATAAGGAAGACCAAAGAATTGATGCATCTGAATTATGGTGTTAGTGAAGAATACTGAATATACACCATGGACTGCCAGAAGAACAAACAAATCTGTCTTGGAAGAAGTACAGCCAGAATGCTCCGTAGAAACAAGGATAGCAAGACTTCATCTCACATACTTTGGACATGTTATCAGTAGGGGCCAGTCTCTGGAGAAGGACATCATGCTCGGTAGAGTGGAGGATCAGCGAAAAAGAGGAAGACCCTCAATCAGATGGATTGACACAGTGGCTGCAACAATGGGCTCAAACAACAATTGTGAGGATGGTGCAGGACCAGGCAGTGTTTCGTTCTGTTGTACATACGGTCGATATGAGTCGGAACCTGACAACAACCATCAGTGCAGATTTCTTTTTTATAAGTAATGCTGTGCATTATTTTCTTCCTACAATTAAGTTTATTAGGATAGATTTCAAAACTAAAATTTCAGGATTCAAAGTCATGAACATTTTTTAAGTTCTTGATGCATTTTATTAAATTTTTAAAAAGTGGTTATATTAATTTACCCAGCCACCATCAATGCAAAGTGCTTTTTCACTGCCAAATTATCATAATTAAAAAATAAATAAATAAACCTCTCTGGTTTTAGTTTACATTTTAAAACGTACTGTTACGTTTCTTTCCTAGATTTTACCTTTGAGAATAGTATTTTAATTACCTTTGCTTTATCAGAGTTGCAGTGTTTTGCTGATCATTTTTAATGTAGGAATCCTTTCTGATGATAAAGATAGTAATCTTTTGCTATTCTTTCTAAATAGTGTTTCCAGGCTATTGTTTATCTTTTAATTTTGATTAATGTATTTTCATGTATAGATACAATAGTTAAATACATCAATCCTTTCGTTTATAATTTCTTTTATCACTTTTGAATTTAGAATGTATACCTTTCTCAGGAGGTTAAAGTACCTTCCTCCTAGTTTCTAGTTTTCCTATCATGGGATTTTAAGTGAGTACTAATTCATCTGCAGTTTCTTTAAATAATATCTGAAAGTAAAGACCTACAGTTTTTAAACTAGCCAGCCAATTTTCCAATATTATTTATTAAGCTGGTTTGCTATGTGTTTGTCTTCTGTATAATAAAACATAGGTTGTAGACACTGATCATCACCATATTCCCAGCGTCTAACCACACCTGGCACATAGCAGGTGCTCAGTATTTGTTCAATGAATGAACGAATGATAAATAAGGTCTATTTCTGGGCTATGTAAGTCTCTTCCATTTAAAATCTTTCATCTTCATCACTGATGCTTGATTTTTTTGTAGATTTGATTTTACCCTCTAAGGATAAAGCGTGTTATATGCATGTGCTAGAAAGCATCCATAACTATGTTTTAATATCGTGATCCTTCTCTCTTCAAACAGCTAAACTTTCTACATAAACATAGATATATATTCTCCTACCCCCTCATTGCAGGAAATGGGACTGCCATCCCATCTACCCAGGTGGTTGTCCAGAAACCCAGCCTGGGAGTCAGCCTCGACTTGTCCCTCTTCCTCACCATCTACATGCAGTCAGCCACCACCAAGTCCTGTGAATTCTCCTCCAGAATGCTTCAAATCTGCCTCCTTCTCTCTATCTCCATGCTTCTCAGTCAGCTGTCGCGTGGGCTACAACAGCACCTTTCCACAGCCAAAGGCATGTTACTGCAAATTATATTTCATCGTGACAGTCCCTAAAACCTTCCAGTAGCTTTCCATTGCTTCTGTGAGAAGATCCAAATTTTTAACATCGTCAACAAGACCCCACAGGATCTGGCCCCTGCCCCTGGTCTCATCTCAAGCCACTTCACACTACCTTACTGGACTCAGGCCATGCTAACTTTGCTTTGTTGCCGTCTCTGTCTTCTTTGCCTTCCAGTCTTAGATTCAATGACACCACAGAGTGGCCGTCCCGAAGCCCCACACTAGGTGGTGGTGGTGGTGCTGGTGTGGTTGTTAGAACTCCCGTATGTCTTCATAAATATTTTGTAATTTTTCTTCATAGCACTTACCACAATTATATAGTTACCTGTGTAATTATTTGCTTAGAATTCAGCTATACTTCCTCTTGCAACTGCGTTCTTGCAGATTTTCCCTATGATTTACAAACGCTTTCACAGAGTCTCATAGTTTCGTTACTGGATGTTTAAAAAGCTATCTGATCCACAGTTGTGACTAGTTTGCACTGTGCAAATACGTATCATTTAATAGGATCCCCAAAGAGACCAGGGATCTCCGAAAAACGGGGATGGATGGATCTAAGTTTAATTCTGTTTCAGAACTTTATAACTGAGAATTATTTGATACCTTTATCTTTTAGGAGAAGAAAATTACATCAGCTTCAAATTCACACACAGAAGTAAAATCTGAACAACCGCCTCCTTGTGTGAATCCAGGCAACCCTGTGTTTTCATGTATGTTGGACCCAAAGACACTCCGTACAGCTACCTCGCTATCAAAACCTCAGATGATTATGTATAAAACCAAGTCAAGTGATTACGGTGAATTCTCACCTATACCACAGTTTCTTCCCTGCAGTTATTCTCCGAAGGAGCAAGTATTCTCAAGCCGTCTCAGAGCGACTGGGTTTTATCAAAACAACACTCTAAACACGGCACCTGACAGAACCAGAACCCTTGATTTTCCTAATTTTCAGCACACTCTGTAAACATATGTTCCTTCGTACATTTAAGAGAAAACATACTTAGAGAAAAATGAGTTTTAAATCTGAAACTAAAATACCTAAAATTTTGGAATATAAAAAGAGTTGGACCAATTAAAAACATCTTTAAGAAATAAAGCTTTTCAACTAATAACTGAATGACCTCTTTGATTTGAATGTTTTCCACAACGCTGACTTCTTAAATCAAAGTGTGTTCAAAATGGCGGAATAAACAGTGACAGGTGTTGCAGTGCATCCTGTGAGTCCCTGTACCCCAAAAGCTGCAAAAGGCTTTCGTGATCGCAACTGTCTACTGAGTATATTTATCAAGATGAGAAAACACAGGAGCTCTTAAAACATTTTTCTGAATTAAGAAAGATTCAGACTAATAATTTTCCACTTCTCTGTTATTTCAACTAATGGGTTAGAACTCAGGAAATGTTGGTTCCCACTGCTCGGCTGGTTGAACAGAAGAATTGTTATTCATTCATTCAGGAAATACTTCTTGAATACCTACTATATGCCAGGCACTATGCTATGCAGGTGGAACCCTGATGGCACAGTGGTTATGAGCTCAGCTGCTAACCAAAAGGTCAGCAGTTCAAATCCACCAGCTGCTCCTTGGAAACCCTATGGGGAAGTTCTACTCTGTCCTATAGAGTTGCTATGAGTCAGAATCAACTCGATGGCAATGGGTTTGGTTTTTTGTTTATGCTATGCAGACAGGGACACAGAAATAAAAGATAGCAGTTATTTATTGTTTCAGAGTCCCTGGGTGGTACAAACAGTTAATGTGTTCAGCTGCTAACCAAAGGTTAGAGGTTCTAGTCCACCCAGAGGCACCCTGGAAGAAAGACCTGGCAATCTACTTCTGAAAAATCAGTTCTACTCTGATACACATAGGGTGGCTATGAGCTATCAACTTGACAGCAACTGGGTGGTTTTTATTTATTGTTTCAGGGCAGCTTAGCGGGAGAGTCAGATTAGCCAATTAATAGTATGTGATAATTTATGTAATTTAAAGTATGCACAAGGTCTTTCAAATACAGAGAAAGAACTGCTCAAATTGAAATTGAGGAGATCAGGAGAAGAATCGTGAAGAAGATAAGACTGAATTAAAGGAAAGGTCATTACAGGCAGAAAAAAAATACATTCATAAAAATACAAAGAGAATGTGATATACTTTATTAAATGCAATTAACTTGATACATCTTGAATATAGTGGGTGATGGGTTACACACTTCTTCGAAGTCTGTGATTCTACTGTACACAGAGACTTATTTCACCTACTATCTGTCTAAATCATACATTCAGTTGAATCTGAATACCTTTACTTTATTGGAAAAAAAAAAAACCACTGTTCTTACTTTTCCCTGTGGTTTCAGGCTTAGCATATTCAGTTTGGTTAGAATAATTTTGTGAGTCACTATGGGGTCAGAAAAATTGGGTCTTCAAATTACAAACACTGGTTTGATGTGAGGAAACAGCTGAAACTCCACAGAGTCATCAAATTTTTCCAAATTCCCCAAAATTTGATATTGGGAAACAGCACAAGCAAGAAAGAAGATTAGTTCACTTCCTTCAAAACATCAGTGAGACGCTGCACAAGATTTCTGGGTGAATGATGCAACGAAATTGGAGTTTTCCAGCTTTTTCTCCCTACATAAACAATATAAACCATTCTCCCCCTTCACAGTAGGTGCCCAATCTGTGGCAAGTAAATTAAACTTCTTAACATGTAGAATCTTGACATCAACCTCAAATTCTAAGTCTAGACTAAACTACAAATTCCTTACTACGGCAGGTGATTTGGCCCATTTTTGACTTGTTAAAATTCTCAGATAGGATTAATCTCTCAGAATCAAACATGTTCTCTGGAATCTCATTATGTAGTCATTCATTCAGCCATTCATTTTAATAACTATTTATTCAACGCCTAGTCAAGTCCAATCACTAGCC